CGGCTGACGAGCGCGCGCGTCCGCCGAGTCGTCCGTCGGGTGCAGCGGCACCTCCTGCAGGGGAGTCCCGTCCCCGGCACCCCCGCGCGCGTGTGGCCGCACCCCCTCAAGCCCCCGCGGTACCCGTAACGACTGGGGGGCCTGGGACTTGCGGGGCCGCGAGGCCGAGCCAGGCGCCCCCCAGCGGCCGGCGTGGATCCCCCCCCCTTCGCCCTCCCCTCCACCTCGACACCCCCATGGCTGGGCCAGGCGGAGCGGAACCGGCGAGGTGAAGCCCGGGGGCCCCGCAGCCGGAGCGCGTGGCGGGGGCGCCGGCTCCATGGGCAGCGGCGCACAGCGGCGCGAGGATGATGATGATGGACGTTAACAGCAGCGGCCGCCCGGACCTCTACGGCCACCTGCGTTCTTTCATCCTGCCGGAGGTGGGGCGCGGGTTCCCGGACCTGAGCCCCGACGACGACGGGGGCGCAGACCCAGTGGCGAGCTCCTGGACGCCGCACCTGCTGAGCGGCTTCCCCGAGGCGACCGCCAGCCCCGCGCCCACCTGGGACGCGCCGCCGGACAATGTCTCGGGGTGCGGGGAGCAGATCAACTACGGCCGAGCCGAGAAAGTTGTGATCGGCTCCATCCTGACGCTCATCACGCTGCTGACGATCGCGGGCAACTGCTTGGTGGTGATCTCCGTGTGCTTCGTCAAGAAGCTCCGCCAGCCCTCCAACTACCTGATCGTGTCCCTGGCGCTGGCCGACCTCTCCGTGGCCGTGGCGGTCATGCCCTTCGTCAGCGTCACCGACCTCATCGGGGGCAAGTGGATCTTCGGACACTTCTTCTGCAATGTCTTCATCGCCATGGACGTCATGTGCTGCACGGCCTCGATCATGACCCTGTGCGTGATCAGCATAGACAGGTAAGAGGTAAGGAGCCCCGGGACGCCCCGTCCTGGGGATCCCGGCTGTGTGGGGGACCCGAGAGGTCGCTTTATTTTACTTTACTTTTCTTTTTCTTTCTTTCTTTTTTAAACCTGAGAGGATCAAGCCCGATTTCAAGGCAGGGAATGGAGGGCCGAGCTTCAGATACAACCTGCACACCAACCAGACAACTTCAGTGACGGCAGAGCCCTGTAATCATCTCTCAAAGAACATCCTGAAAGGTGCCGCCGGTTCACCATAGTGACGGGTTTCAGACCCGAGTTTTGAGTATTTAAAGCTCGAGTCATAATTCCACCAGGGGGTCCCTCGGCTTGCTCTCCCGAAGGATGTTCTCCCTGGGCTAGGCAGACAGACCATGGTTTGTGAGGTCTAGTGTCATTTCTTGCTTTGAGAAATCTGTCCGGATAAAGCTGCCTCGATCTTGGTTTGTAGGAGCGCTATTCTCTAGGCCAACGGAGGAAAGGTTTTTGGATGAATCCCAGAACTGGGGATGGGAGGGAGGGAGGGACGAAGGGAAGGAGGGAGGGGGCGGGGCGGGGGGGGGGGGACAAGACTCCATGTCTTGTTATGATTGCTAATTCTGAATCTCCTTGTGAAGTCTGGTTTCAGTGTTTGGCAACGCTGTCGGTTTCCAGAGTTTACTCCTTGCGTGAAAGGTTCGGTCTTTCGTCATATCCCTTGGAAACCTGCTCTGGAGAGCTCCAGTGGAGGAATTGAAATAGAGACCGATCATATGCCAGGAATTATGGGGGGGCGGCTTGCTGCTTTGGGGGTGATTTATTATACTAAGAGGCCCACTCTTCTCCAGGGCTTTTGGTTTTTGCTGTTGGGTTTTTTTTTTTTTTGACTGTAAGATTGTGAGATTTTTGAAATGGAGCTGATCTGTTTTGGCCTGGAAATCAATATGTAGTTGACAAGTCGAAGTATGGTCTTGCAGTGCTCTTAGGTGGCAGAACAGTTCTGTGTCACTTGAAATATTTAAACCTTAGTATTTGCACTCAGAATGCTGCTGTTTGAAAACCAGCCCAGGACTAAGAATCCTGTTGTGTTCAATGATACAGAGAAATAGTTGCTTATTTTCTTAGTGGCCCTACAGAACCTTTAAATGTGCAGACCTTTCAACATGGGAGAACTAATTGATGCCTCCACACATAAAATGATAGTGTCTCAAAGGATGGTCCAGCATGAACCTGAGATTTCCCTTTTTATTCTCCTCTTTGAAAATATTGCTCTTTGTGGTTTGTTGATATTTGAAATATTCTGCTGTTTTGTGGCGTGACCAAGGTTTATAATTAGGAAATAAAGGGGAGAGGGCATATTTTCAAGTAAAAGAATACATTTTATTTGCATTTAGTGATTTTGATTTAAAAATGATACTGCCATTTTATACGTCATGATTGGAGCTTCTGACAGCAAGCAAAGAATTATTTTAAGAGCAGAGCTTGAAGTGCATATGTGAGATATTGGCACCCAACTTGGCAGCTGAGGTTCTGAATTACTGTAGTTAAGAATGACAAAAACATATGCATTTACAGTCTGGCTTTGGCAACAGGAATTAGGAGAATGCACTCAGTATACATAATAAGTATATACATGAACCACAAGTGCAGAAATCTGACTGCTCAACCAACCAAAAAACGGTGCTACTTCAATGAATGGAGTTCTTGTAAATGGGAATTAGTGTAAAAAAATAACAATCTGTGATGCGAATAATGCATTTGTAGCCTTTTTGGTTTTACATTTCATAATTGGTAAGTGATAAATAAATAGTACATTGTGCTAATTTGTCTCCTCAGGCAAATAGAGTTACTGTTCATCTGGGCATATTCATGTTTGGCTGAGGTCACACTGTGGTTTCTGTACTTAAGCTAAAACATCCTTCACCCACTGGACAAGTGTGATTTAGTACTGTTAGGGATGTCCTGAATATAGGACAGAGGTCAATTCTTCTTGGCAAGACTTTCTAATTTCTTTATTGACTGTATATTTTTGACTATCACAAATTGTGTTAATATAGACATACATATCCTGTTTTTGTTCCTCTATGAAAATTGTCCCATTACTGAATTCTGCCTAAAATAATTTTAGGAGATCAGCATATCATTTCTTTAGAGTAAATGAAGAGTTGATTAAATGGGAAGAAACATTGATTTTCTCCTAAGAACACAAACAAGTAAAAATGAGAAAAAAGATGTATCTGAGATGAATAGTTCTGAAAGTAGTGCTTTCTTCACTTTTAATATACAACATGCCAGATGATATAAACTGTGCTACCAAAAAACTAGAAGTAGAGTTGTGACTCAAGTGGTAAAGCACTAGTATTGTGCAAAAAAGTTCAGAGAGTGCCCAGGCCTTGAGTTCAAGACCCAGGACAAGCACACAAAAAATTAATTTTCATTTATTTCCTTTTACATATCAAATATAAGTTACATTGTATTTTGTGCAGAGCAAAGATGAGAAAAATAATATTTCTACTTTTATGCTCATACTACTACATTGCAAGAATTTGGAGTGTCTGTTGGATGTTGTGACCAGAATGAAACCTCTACTTTTCTTTTTCTTTTTTTTTTCTTTTGGTTGGTGGTGGGGCCTGAACTCTGGGCCTAGGCACTGCCCCTCAGCTCTTCAGCTCAAGGCTAGTGCTGCTGTACCACTTGAGCCATAGCACCACTTTTGGCGTTTTTTGCTTATGTGGTGCTGAAGAATCGAACCCAGGGCCTAATGCATGTAAGGCAAGCAGTCTACCACTGAGCCACCTTCCCAGCCCCCCATCTGCTTTTTCTTAATGACTCCCTTCTATACTGAGATGCTTTCCCAGCCATATTGTTCTTCATAGGTTTTAAAATTCCCATTTTCCCCTCTTCTCCTTTCTCTTTTCAGAGAATGATTGAGTTCATTGGAAAAGGCTAGGAACTCCCTTACCTTCCACCATGGAGCTACTAATCTCCCTCATGTCTGTAATGTTTTAAAATTTTCCTTCCAGTTAAAAAATTAAGAAAGGGGCTGGGAAGGTGGCTTAGTGGTAGAGTGTTTGCCTTGCATGCATGAGGCCCTGGGTTCAATTCCTCAGCACCACATAAGCAGAAAAAGCCAGAAGTGGTGCTGTGGCTCAAGTGGTAGAGCGCTAGCCTTGAGCTGAAGAGCTGAGGGACAGTGCCCAGGCCCAGTGTTCAGGCCCCACAACTGACAAAACAAAACAAAACAAAAAAACCAAAACAAAACCAAAACAAAACCTAAGAAGATATTGTATCCTTGCAGACACCAAAACACTTGGGCTTTATATTCTTTCCTTTTACCGTCACAGGGACTTTGTTTCTTTACTGATTTCCTCATCTCTGGTGTGTCTTCAGGTTTTCCTTTCTTCTAAGCCATGTTTACTCTCCTTTCCTTATGAATCCCCCCTTTGGCCTATTTTTTCCCTCCACTTGCTGCAGTTCACAGGAAAGTGCAAAGAACTGTGCCTGTGTCCTGTCTGTCATTCCTTACTCTCAGTAGATGAGTGTGACACTTACCAGGTCTGCTGCAGTATTATTTGAAATGTCTTCAGTTCCACTTCTGTCCATCCCTACCTATTTTGTATGAAGAAGTTAACATGAGCTGTTTAAAATTTCTTAAAGAAAATTAACTTTAGACATGCCCACATGTTCAACCCATATAACCAGTGCTGCAGTTGAGGTTTGGAATATTTTTGTCCTTCTAGAATGTTCCTTCATGTTCCTCTTAGAATGATGTTTTAGAACTATAACTGAAATTACCTTCTGTATATAGTTTAAAAACACACAAAAATAGGTATAAGATTTATTTAGAGAAGGCTTTTTTTTTTTTGCCAATCCTGGGACTTGAACTCTGGGCCAGCATCACATTCAGCTTTTTCTGTTTATGTGGTACTGAGGAATCAAGCCCAGGGCTTCATGCATGCTAACCAAGTATTCTACCACTAAGCCACATTTCTAGCCCCAAGAGAAGCTTGTAGATAAAAAAAAAACCCTCAAGTAAACCCAGCATAGTGGTCCATGCTTGTAATCCTTGCTGTTTGGGAGGGAGATTAGTAGATACTGATTCAAGTCTGGCATAAATATTCATAAGATTCCACCTTAACCAATGAGTAGGTACGGTGGTCAGTTCCTGTCATCCTACCTATGTGGGAAGAAACACAGTGGTTGGGCCCAGTGGCATATGCCTTGTCATCACAGTGACAGCAGAATCATAGGAGGCTTGTAATTCAGGCTAGACCCAGGCATAAAGTGAGACCATTTCTCAAAAGTAACAACCCACAAAAGGGTAGAGATGCTTATATGGTAGAAAAACCTCCTTAACAAGTCACAAAGCCCTGAGTTCAAACCTTAGTACTGAAAAGAAAAAGTAGAAGCATTAAATAGTGCAGGAGAATGAATGATACAAATCAAAGCCAGAGAATAGTTATTCTGGTGAAGGTGTTATTTGGGGTCAGTACACATCTATTAGGAATGCTTTGTGTTTTAGTCTTGTTGATAGATACAGTCTTACTCTTTTATTTTTTTTGTGTGTGTCTCAAATATATATATATATATATATATATATTTATATTTAAACTTAAAAAAGGCAAATATAGAAAACTAGAGAATCCTAAGGGTGGAGCTTGATGAAGTTCCACAAATGGAACATATTATTATTCACCCTATAAAGAAGTAGACCATTTCAAACTCCACACCTCAAACATAGCCTTTGTTCTTGTAACATCATAAACTGTACTGTTGCTTGAACTTTAAAAAAATCTAGCTTGTTTTTTTTAAAGGTAATATCTATGAAGTTCATCTATAGATTTTAGCCTACTTGTGGTTATTCCCCCTCCCCTTTGGTTTGGTTTGGTCATGGGGCTTGAACTCAGATTCTGGGTGCTATCCCTGAGCAATTTTGCTCAAGGCTAGCACTCTACCACTTTAAGTCACAGTTCCCCTTCTAGTTTTCTGGTGGTTAATTGGAGATAAGAGTCTCATGG